GATTGGAGATCATCAGGAAAACATTTGGTGAACTTGGCATTGATATTGATGGTTTTCTTTGATGATTGATCATCATCCATGGTGGACTAGTCTCTCTGAAATCCTCATTGTAGTTATTATGGTGATCTTCCATTGTTTCTACTGATCTTGATGATGATTCTTGACCGTTCTAACCATACATATATGTAACAAGATTTTCTAGGATTTAGTAATATGATATGTTATAATTGACCTAATGTTTTGCGAATGTGGAAAGTTAAATAAATATGAATAATTATACCAAAGTAGTCGTGGAGGCATGAGAAGGATGAAAGCGACTGATTTGGTGAGGAAGAGGAAGAGTATTATTTTCTTTGTAATTGTCAAAGCCAAACATTTCTTCTGTTGTGGCTTTTCTCAGTAATGTTGGGAGCTCCTCTTCTACTTGTATCACACAACTTGACCTCTCCTCCATTTTGTATAAGAATATTTCCCTATTACAAACACGTTAATTCATTAGGGTAAATATAGTATTGTTCTCTGCTTTAAAACATAAAATGTCGTTTTTAGGATTCAATTTTTGTTTCACGAAGTCGTTTTCAGCAATTTTTAACACTCCGGTTTTATTCAAAATATTTGAGTTTACTACTAGCTAAAAATATTTTTTTTTGTTTATGTAGTTTGAAAAATATTTAAAAGAGATTTATAATGAAACAAATGAAAAAATCAACACCTATACGATTGAAATTTATTTTTGATATACTAGAATAATTAATCTTCGGACTTTGACTTCTATCATTGATTCATTCATTAACACAAGTGATTGATAAGTATAACTCTAGAAATCAAATTTGATTTACACACTATATATTTTTTAGATGTTTAAAAGCATATACGAGGGGGAGAAAATTATATACTGGAATATTCCCAATAAAATAGTGGCCAGGGATGATATTTGGCGAATTCTTGATCCATAAGGTTTTTTTTTACCTTTTTTCCTATTTATCCTTTATCTATGCTCTAGGTAACATGGTCTGGAAAAATGAATTTGGGTTTTACAGTTTCTAGAACTGATAAAAATAGAACCAGTTTTTCTGTAATAGAAAGACAAGATATAACCCACTAAACCCATCTTCACCTAAATTCTCCACCTATAAACATCTTTCTAAATTATCACTATATATGCAATGGCTAGTGTTCTGCCCACTAAGCTGTTACTCAGCTGTGACTGTATTTACCTATTTTATGTTGGCTGGAAAATAAACACCACTATCTTTTGTTGTTAATCTAAAACAAATTGCACTAAACCTATGGAATATAAATATGGGTGTTTGGATACATTGAAAATCATCCTCAAATCAAACAACAATCATAAAAAGAAAACACACAAGAGAGGAGAAAAATCGAGGAGAACCAAAAAAACAAAAACAAAAATTGTTTTCAATTTTCGCGTTTGTCGAATTTTATGTAGCCTTTCCTCTATCTCTTTCCACGTCAATGATATAAGCTCAACCAAATTAAAAACATTGTATACTTGTTTTTGGTTAATATCAAGTGTAAGTTTTCTAAAGTTAGGAATTATTCGAAAAGCTAACTAAAAAAAATTGGTTTTAACGAAACAAAAATTCCAGTAAATAAACAACAGAAGAGATATAACAAGATTTCAAATGAATGGTGCGGTGCTGTGTACACATCAACTCATCGGGTCCACTTGATAGTTATTATGGCCGGACCGGCCAAAAAAGGCGTATGCTTTATTTACGTGTGTGAAAGGTAATCAATGTTGTTCAACCACTGTGAAAACCGGTTTTGATCATGAAAAAAATCACTACATATACTAGTAAACCGGAAATCTGTCAGAGCAAGCCAACCGGTTAAAACTTGCATTCATTGGCATTTTGAGGTTTTAGTTCTAATTTTCGTTTTTCTTGAAGCATTCTGGGTTTAGGAATAAAAAGAACGATCGATGAGAGTAAAAAAATAAACAAGAAAAGAACAAATTATATAATTCATCATTTTAACAGTTCGTAACCAAAATCCTAAGATCAGATTTTCGTATCGCCTATGCATTTACATAAAGAAAGGATGCAAAAAATATATAAAACAGACACTAACCTGGCGATTTTGAGATTTGCAGTCGTAACGTAGAGCTTGTTATAATTATGTGTAAAAATCTTTGGAAAAAAATAGAGGAAATGTTGGGATTTGAAATCTTTAGATCTTCTCTGTTTCTTCTAGAGATAACAAAAAAAATGGTCTATTTTTTTTTGGAA